GCTGCTGTCTGGGCTTTCACTGCCATTCTACACCTCCCTTTCTGCATGTGTTCAATACTTTTTTTCCCTGTGTCATTTTATTTTATTACGCATAGCTTAATTTGTAAACTAATTAGATTTATGTTCTTTGCATATATGGATTTCTTTGGTTGTTACCAACATCCATGGAAAAATTCAAGTCAACGGCCCCTTTAGAAATATGTTTTCTGGGAAAAATGGTGACGTATTCAATACTTATTTTACTAACAGAACAGCCTGAAGGTCACTGGCAGTTTTAGCTTAGAAGTTCTAGGAGGATATATGTTTTGAAATGTAGTCTCCAAAGATCTACAGATCAGTATATTGGCTGACACAAGAATACAATAAATACTTATTTACATTATGTTTATATATTCTTGTTATATTATCCCAATCATAGCATAAAGTACATTTTAATAAAGCTGGAGAAAAAAAAAATACTCGAATTGGCCCACCACAATAATGATGCAAATGTTGCAAAATAACCCCTGGCCTAATTCCCCCCATAATGCACAGCAAATAGAGAAGGTTTTTCATCTGCTCATAATACAGCTCTTGATAAAATGGCAGGTGTGAGTGTATTGTACGGCTGTGACTAAAATCCATCTTTGATTTACACTATGATTAGTCTGTCTTTGAAGTGACCCGAGAGCGCTCTCTAACACTCCTCATTACGCTGACAGAATTAAACTCTATAACCGTAGAGGACTTTGATGTTTCCAGACACCCATGAACCTGGGAGCAAAACATTGTGCTCTCTTACATCAGATACAGTGTTCGTCCCTTGGGGCAGAACATTCATTAAACGTAATAGGAACAGATAAAAGACAATGTCCTTCCCCTTGTCAAGATTAGGTGCTGTAGTGCGACCGAGACTGTGATTTTACAGACCCAAACACAGCCTGAGTGGATTTACATATGCATAAGTACAGTATTATGGACATGGCTGCTGTCTGATGAGATTTATTAGTTGGAGATTTGCTCGAATGTGTCATATCTCGGAAACAGGGCAGTATGTGTGTGGCAGGTAAATGATGGCCTTCATAAAATATTATATTACTGCAATGAAATGGCATAAATCTTTAATAACATGGGTCATCGTTATATGCTAAACAGATTTGAGTCTGGCGGGGTGTTCAGAGGAAGGGCAGGACATGGGCATGTAGAGAGCATCTATATACTAAAGGTAGTGAAGGTGAAGCATGTCTATTGTTGTTAAATGTGCAGGCATAACTTAAAAAAAACATTAGTGTAATGATTCTGTTACAATTGTAAATGATTGGTTATCAAGGAATGTTGTTGAAATTATAAACAACAACAACAACGAAAATAATGGTAATCAAATTACATTCTGAATAGCCCACTTATGTAAATGAAATTATCACTTGGATTAAAAACACACATACAAACACAAATACAATGTATACAAAAAACAAAAACAACAAAACAAAACCAGTAAAAATGCTAACAAAACAATAAAAACAAATAAATTAGGACTGCACAAAATAGTGTTTCAGCATTAAAATTGTAATGTGCGCATCCGCAATAGTCACATCGCAGGAAATGTGATATTGAGTTGGGATTAGACACTCTCAGAAATAATGGTACAGTGTTGTAACAAAGAAGGTACAAACCCTTGTCTCTGGGGCAGTACCTTTTCATGGGACAGAATTGCACCTTAAGACAAAGAAACAAATCTGTACCATTGGAAATGGAAACCAAAATGTACCTTTGGTTTTTAAAACCTGCAGATACAATATTGTGCCTTCATCAAAGGTACAAATCTGATCCATGTAGGCACGACTACTGTAACAAGACACGTTGTACCTTAACAGTGTCAAATGTGCTTCTCAAAATGCCTCTATTTACTTTCAGTAAATATAAAACATCAAATACATTTTTAAACAAAGTTTTTTTTTAAGTATATTTTTGTTTAATGCAGCTTTTCCATTCACAACAAATAATAAAAAACACTAACAAATCAAAAGACATATTTTTGCTGAATGTCACACTTTTCACAGAAATGTTAAAGAAACACATTCTCGCGTCTACAATTTAAATCTTTTTTTTTTCCAATGTTCACACAATACCTTTATAATCACTTAAAGGTTTATTTAATTTACTTAATGTTAGAATAGAAATAGAATTATGCAAGCGTATTGTAATGAGATATGGACAATGTGTGATTAGTTTTACAATAATAAAATGTCTGCATGAACATCTTGCATATGCAGGACTTTTGCCAGCTCATATGTGTAGTGGAAAGCAAATACCAAAAGGTGCAGATATTAATAATGAAACTGTATTTACCAGATAATGCTTACCAAATGTTTATTAAAAATGCCTTAAATGTTTAGTTTACAATTTTTTTTACCAGTTATTTTGTATTATAGAACATAATAACTAATGACTTTCTTTAAACATGCTTTTACATGATGATTTATGTTTTAAGATGGAAATTATTCATAAATTACAGTAATGTTTATTGTAATAAGGTATTAAGGTACACTTTTGGAACTTTTTTATAAGAAATATTGTGTACCTTTATTTCAGTTGTTCCAAAAAAGGTACAGAACAGTATCATAAGAGGTCTTTTCTGTACCATATAAGGTACAACTTTTACAAAAGTACAAAACTGTTCCTTAAAGAACATTATTTGTACGACCATGTACCTTTTTTTTCTGAGAGTGTAGTGAACCAAAAATTACAGTTCAGTAGATATGATTTAGCTAATCATTGTAAATTTTAACCTTTTAACCTAAGAATTATCTATTACCGCATTTCTTTTTTACCCATTTTTTTAGGCTTGTAAATGTAAGATTTCAAGCAAATCTAAACCATTTGGAACAAGAAATTATACATTTTGCCGCCTTACCAAAGATTAATTGAGCTTAATTATTTGTCAAATGAAGACTACACAGTGTTATTTTAGATTTGATATCTGAATTTCTTTATCTTAATATTGCAATTGTCACGGTTGCTAGGAAGAATGAGGGAGCGAGGACCAACAGAAGCTGGGTTTATTAATAATAAAAACAAAAGTCAACAAAAAACAATCGAAGCAAAACATAACTAAAACATAAAAAGGCAAACAAACTTGGCTGGGCAGGCCTGGAAAAGACTGGAAGCAACGCACAATGAATCACGTATGAAGGACATATGACAAACTGGCAAAGAACAGCAGACAAGAGGAGACTATAAAGTGAAATAATTAACAAAGAAACAGGTGAACAAACTAATAATGGGTTAACAATCAGGGTGGGGCTAAACAATAGACAGGAGAGCACATGACACAAAAAAAAAACATGCTCATGTAAAATGGGACTAGAACACGCAGCCAATGAGAGAACACATTACCCGCATGTTCACATGAAATGACACTAAAGCTCACGTTGCATGTAAACATGATCCACATGTTAAACACAACACCAACAGAAGACTGATAATAATGAATGCAAGACGCGAGTACACGATAAATAAAAACACAGCAGACAGAACATAAACAAACACCACAATGAGAGCGTGCATCCTGAACATGGCCTGAGTGCAGCCAAGATGGCACTTATACAAAAAAAAACAAAAAAAAAAACAAAGACAGACAAGAACAGAATAAGGCCCAATGCCAATTCTATTTTTGTCCCTCTACCCCTTCCCCTTGGCCCTTGAAACAGAGTGTGCAGGGGCAGGGCTTCAAAATTTACCCCTACGAAATGGGACACCACTACAACACCTGCACACATCATCATTTCATTGCGATCTTTTGCTTCATATGAGATTGAAGATTGCGACTGCTGTAGTTATTCCAGTTGCATTATTTTCTGGTATTTATCTTCAGGAAATCACTGAAGGCATATAATATGGTATTATAATGATATAGTGTGGCAATAAGATCGCAACTTTACTGTGTATTTACACAGTTTACATACTACGTAAGTAAACATACAAAAACCACAATACCATTACAGCAGACACTGTAAACAGCTCATTCCATTCTAGCCACTAGAAGTTTCTGACAGGGTATTGGAGTGTCATTGAGTGTCAGAATGTTGTAAGACTGCTATACAGGAGTTATTATTAGGAATTATAGTGAAATTAAGCATTTTTATTTTAGCTTTTTTTTAAACCATGATGAACATGAATGTGGTTATGAAAATATTAAAACATATGCTTGATTGTTGTAAAAAAAAAAATCGTAATAATGACAAAAATACTAATTTGTGCATCTCTTTACTTCCGTGTGCAGGCATGCTTTTGTTGTAGCTGGTATATTCTATTAGGAAAATTCCTTACCCCTTGGTTTCAACAAAATCATATCAATCAATGTAAAATTGTGAGTTATTGTCAAACAGTTACTTTAATGTAATATTGTGATATTGTGATGTTATATTAATATCGCAATATATATTGCAGAAATACAAAATATCACAATGTCAGATTTTCCCAGCCTGATCTCACAAGGAAACAAATTCGCAAAATCGTCAAAAAAAGTCGCAAATCGTACTAAATTGTATGAATGAGATTGTATGAATTCATATGAATTAGCCACTAAATCAGTGGTTACGAATTGGCCTGAAATTGTGTTGGTTTTTCCATTCAGCCTCCAAAACAAACTGAATGAGAATTGTATGAAATTATCTTTTGAGCCAAAACAAAACAGAAAAAATACAAATACAGTCATAAAAACAAACATAATAAATCAATCATTTTGTTAGGAAAGGATAGGTCCGACCAAAAACACAATAATACAAACAAAAAACAAAACAATAATAATACAACTACAACAATAAAAAGATAAAAAAAACTACAAAGCCTTTTTTCAACCTTTTTTTGTTTTGAATCATTAGTATGGGTCAAAATAAAACAAACAAGCAAACACAACAAAAACAATAAAAATGTAACAATAAAAACACAAAACAAAAGAATACTAATATATAAATAAAAAAAAAAAATTGAACAAAAAACAATGAAAATACGAATGCAAAAATAAAAACTACGAACAAGTACAAATGAAAACAAAGGAAATATTTAGAAAAGATGACAGGATTATTATCAACTATGAAAATCCATTTCTAAAATTCTGCCATCTAAGTCAGAATATACAGGGAACAATCTAAAAATGTACAGCGAAAGTTGGAGTACTTTATCCCAGCGGAAGGATTATTTAACATGACGTGGCTATGATGTGTACAGTTCTCAAAATCTGTTAAAGTAATCAGTACAAAACAAGTACAAGGACTCACCATAATTCATTACAATGACATTCTAACATCTGCAATAGCTCTTAAACACTTTTAAATTCAAAATTTAGATCATTAGAATGTTCAGACTACTCTAGTACATTAAAAAACTTTTTTCCACCAAGAAAACCGCACTGAAAGCAGTCCTGAAGGCTCGACTCTGACACATGTTTGTTTTCAAGATTCGCCCTCTGACATTAAGAGACGCAGTGTGGCCATCCATGCAACTAAGCAGTAAAGCTCCAATGCAAATGGCACAACACTCTGCTCCAGTGCTGCCTCATCAGTTCTGACACCCTGCTGGAGACATAATCAGTGAGCCATATGCATAGCAAAGCATCATGGCCATCTGCCCCAGGAACACACGCATCCATCTTCATGAGGACACAGGTTTGTGTACATGTTGAGAGAGTCAGAAAAACAGACAAAAACAGGAGAGTGAAAACCACTGGCTTCCTCTGCTGAGATCAACAATGTGAGCTACAATAATGGCAGCTCACAGGTGAAGCTAAAATACTTATAGACTGCAGATCAAAAACAGTTAAAACATTTTTAAAACTTTTTTGTACAACCCCAAATCAGAAAAAGTTGGCACAGGATGGAAAATGTGAATAAAAAAGAAGGTGATTTCTAAATTTACTTTGACCTGTATTTCATTGCAGACAATAGAACAGTACATTATTTAATTTGTTTCTCGTGATTTTTTTTTTTACATTCAGATATGCTGTTTATGTTTACACAGCTACATTACACATTAACTATTGTTTAAAAATTTAAAGGTGGGCAACCGTCCACATTGTTTTTGCATCAAAATGCACCACACATTCTCTATTGGACACAGGTGGTGACTGCAGAAAGGCCAGTCAAATATCTGTATCATCTTCCTCCGCAGCCAGGACTTTGTAATGTGTGCAGAATATGGTTTTGCATTGTCTTGTTGAAATATGCATGGGCATCCCTGAAAAAGAAGGCAGCATACTGTGCTCCAAAATCTATAATACTTTTCAGCATTAATAGTGGCGTCTCAGAAGTGCAAGCTACCTTTCCCATGGGCACTGACACAGCCCCATACCATGACAGATCCTAGCTTTTGTTGCTAAAAACAGCTTGGATAACTCATTTATTTTTTTAGTCCGGAACACACAGTGTTAATTTCTCTCAAAAAAACAAATGAAATACTGATTCATTTGACCACAGTGCATGTTTTCACTGTGTGATGGTCCATCTCAGATGCCTCTGAGCCCAGAGAAGTCAACCGCTCTTCTGGACACTGTAAACATAGGGCTTCCTTTTGGCACAGTACAGATTTAACCGGCATTTGAGGATGCAACTATCTACAGTATTGTGGTACTTGACAAGAGTTTGCAAAATTAGTCCTGAGCCCTTGTGGTGATAACACTTAAATGACTGATGGTTCTTGATACAGTGCCGTCTGAGGGATCAGAGATCACAGTTGTTCAGCTTAGACTTGTCTCCTTGTCCTTTATGCACTTAAATTCCTCCAGATTCTTTGAATCGCTTAATGACGTTATGCACTATTGAAGGTGAAATATTCAAATGTTTTCCTATCTTTCTTTGAGGGAGAAAGTTTTTAAACATTTCAATAACTTCCTCACGTATTTGTTGGCAAACAAAAAGACTCAAGGACTCCTGCTAAAGGACTAGACCTTTCTTAAATGCTGCTTTTGTACCAAATCATAATAACAATCACCTGTTGACATCACCTGTTTCAAATCACGTCATTATTTAACCAATCTACCCGATTACTAGCCCTAAATGGCTCTTTAAACAGGGCGCTGCAAAACGTCAAAATGACTCTTGTGCCAAACTGAAACGGCAAACAACAATTGTGTCACGCCATGCGCCGCATTGCGCTGTGTGTATGATAGGGCCCTTTAAGTCGTGTAAACTGATTTTTATTATTATTAATATTTTTTTTTGTATGTGCAATTTAGACTGTGTTTGACATATTAAAGCATTTTGCAGAAAATAAATAAATAAATAAAAAACGTCAACACAGCACTCAAATGGTGATTAATTCCTATTGTTGATTGTCCACTGAGATTTACTACATTATCATGTCTTTCCATGCATTTGACAGCCTTTTTAAGCCTTTTTAAGTTTATTTAAGTAAATGACATTGCAAAATACACAATTCTAAAAATCACAGATTTGGAACGAACAACTTTCCACTATATGAGGCTTTTTTTAAACACTGTAGATTGGCTCACCATCTTGCAGTTAAATATATTTTACTGTTGAATACATTTTTCCATTAAAATTGTTATTGTTTTTTTATAGTTATTACACAAAATGCATATTTATCAGTACAGTATAAATGGTTCCGCACCTAGCGCCTACTTCAGAATGATGACAGACCAGGCTAAGAATGATCTCACCACAGACCAATCTGTTCACTTTTATTTTTAGCATATTTCCTCAGAGCATCTAATCAGCGCACGAGCCCCAGCAACACCAGCATATCCCTGCCTGGCATCTTATCAGACACCGGGGGCTTTTATCCCTTCTTTCAGTCATTAACAAGAAATAAGCAGATGAAAAAAAAGCCATCCTAGTGGTTCTGCATGATGTCAGTGCTAAAAAGGGTTTTCAGAGAGAGCTTTAAGTTTCCAGCAGTTCCGAGATGCATGTTATTTCAATCAACAAAGTCAATGTTTTTAACCGACGGCCAAAGGAACGGGGTGCTTTCAGTTCAGCTGTGATCAATTTAAGGACTTACATAATTTGAAAAATGTCGGGATTGCTAGTTTCAAAGATGCCGCTCGAGCTGAAAGAACATAAACCGGGTTGTGATACTTTGGGTTAGACATTTAATTAAGCGAAAGTGAGGCAGTAAAGTAGGTTTAAGATGACAGCTACACAATGCACTGAGACAGCTCGCCTGAACTCCTGCTAATAAGTGCTGAATTTCTCCCAAAGGTGTGTGACATGATCCTTTACCATCTGGCAGTCATCATAATAAAACTTTCAGGCAAAGTTATGAAATAAAGACTCTTTTTTTAACAGCAATGTTAGAACCCAGAATTGCAGTTTTAGGATTGGTCAACCCTTAAATTGTGTGGCTTAACAACTATGTACTGAACTACGTGAAACAATACACTTGCTGTATGTGTAACGTGTAGTTATACTGCTCTTTTTTATGTCTTATTAAAACCAGGGTGTGAAATATGGTAATTAGTGCTTGATCTTCACCAAATAACATTAAAACAAGGTGTGGGTAAATAGTTTTCTCTAATCTGTTTCTTAAATAATAGCCTAACATTACTCATTACAATTTTAGGTTGTATAAATATACTTGATCCCCTCTGAATGAAGTTAAAACAAGATGTGTGTGTGTGTAAATGGTGAGAAATAGTTTGCTTTAATCTGTCTCTTAAATATTAGCCTCACATTAATCATTACAATAGCAGATTGTATAAATACACAGTAAATTTAATTACGAACAGTTCATGCTGTCCCGTGATCATCCACAGCATTTTATGCAGGAAAACATTTAGCTGGTGGTTCTCCCAATTTCCCAATTTTCAAGTTTAATGTTACACTTATATAATTACAATAATAAATCAATTGTAGCTATATATTCAAACTGCTTTTGTGTGCCATCTATAGAGAATAATTTTATTTATTTATTTTGACTGAAATGTTGCAGTCATCCACTGTATCAACGTCTACCAACAGGATTGCACTAACTCAACTCTCTAATTAGGCTAACTTGTATAAGTAGCTTTACCAGTGCTATGAGTAAGGGATTGATAGTTTAGTTAGTTGACTTTATTTATCCCTGTACGGCGATTTCATTTACATACAGTAAACCTGCACCGAGACATTTGACGATAGCACATTTGGCATTTATGGTCATTTTTAAAACCAAGGTACAACTAATCTAATCTAATCTAATAAATATCCTGACCAATAACTACCATTACACATTTTAATTGCTTGAGAGATAAATGATAATTTTGATCTATTCCTTAGATATTTGTTGGACCAATAATGGATGCAGTGTAAGAGAAAAAAAATCTACTATTTGAGGACTGTCCTGTATTTATTGCAATATTATTTTATTATCAATGTGTTTAATTATTACAATAATGTTTTTACTTTTTTCTTTCCTTTTTTGCTTATTTTTTGGAGAAAATATTTTTTTGTAAATAAGTTGAACAGAACAGGACTAATTTGAAATAACAATATGAGATCAATTTAATGTGTCTCTGCTAAATAAAACAAGTATTAATTTCTTTAAAAATTAACTTTAAAATTTAGAATGGAAGTTTAAAAAATACAAAGCATGTTAAATTTTCATTTAAAAAAAAAATGGAAAATAAAAACCTATGGCATATGTTTACCTCCGTGAAGTTGGCCCCCGACCCAACACAAAATGCCGGCAAAATAGTCTCATTCATTTGTGCTATGTTTGTTCTGGTTTGTGCTGCAAAAAATATTAATTTTTGCTGTTTTGGTTTGAGAGATATTAAAATAATATTTATAGGTCATTCAACAGTCTCGCAGCCTCTCTTTCCGATTAAATCACCAGCCCCCCAACATGCTTCAAATTTAACCAAAATAGTCTTGTTTGTTTGTGCTCCGTTTGTCCTGGTTTTTGCCGGTGAAAGATCCTTTTGTGCAGTTTTGGTTATTGAAATATTACACATTGAATTGCAGGTTGCCGGCGTTTTGTTTGGTGGGGGCCCAACTTCACAGAGGTCATACATACACCTTTATTATGTATGAAAATCGCCACCTGACTGAGCCACCTTCTTACCCATCCTTTTTTTTTTACGACACTATTTCTTTAATTATTAATGTATTTAATTGTTACAGTGATAACTTTCCTTTTTTTTCTTCTCTTTTTTTCCTTATTTTGTAAATAAGTATATTGTGTAAACATCATGTACTTTTAGGATTCTTTTATGAACTAGAAAGATGAAATCACTTTAATATGTCCTTCACAACTAAAAAAAAATCTTTTTTTCAGTTTCTTTAAATCAGTTTCTTTAAACACTGACTGAATGGAAGTTTACACAATACATGATATAATTTAGTTTTCATAAAAAAACATGGCATATATTTAATAAATATTGCATTTACTATTGTGTTTGCTATTTTTTATTTATTTTACTGTATTGCAGTCATGCTAGCTAAACAAGCCAGTGTCAGATGTGTCGAAACACTAACGACACTTGACCAAAGGTGTCTTTTCCATGTTAAAATGAATTTTTATCAGAAGCGTCCATGCAAAGTTTCTACTTTTTAAATGGTTACTATTTCTGCGACGCCATGGCTGAACAACAACATAAACTCAAAAACCTCCGGCACTGATTACAATAATGTAAAAGCTTTATATAGTGTTAAATGCAGGGCTTCATTTGTGCCGGAACATGTCGGATCCGGGAGCTCTGGAATCTGATTCGGCACGTCATTTTACCGATCCCCCTTCTCAACCGCCATCCTCCCCATCCGCTGTTCACTTTCACTTTCTTCCGCGACTCCCCAATCCTCTTCACTTTTGTCTGCGTACCCCCGACCTGCTCACTTTTGTCTGTGACACCCCTCTGCCATCCACCTCATCTCCCCCTCCTCTCCATCCATGGGTAACATGCCGGCTACATAACCTGATCTGTTCCGGGACCTCGCAATTCACAAATTAAGCACTGGTTAAATGTATAACTTTGAATACCCCTTTACATGACATTTATATACTGTAGCCATACTGAAATCACCAATCAACAAAGTTTACCTCAGATCTTAAAATAAATAACATACAATTTAAACATGAATTAAGCAGAACTGTATCTCAGTGCAAACCAACAACATAACTTACTCAGCATGTACTTTTACTAATGTTAATGGGGTTTCATTTCTATATATTGGATGATAAACCTCTCCAATTACTTAGAAGTACAGTGCACTTCGTAATGTGTGTGGAAATTAAACGTTTCTTTACTGTAGCTTGTTGCTGGAATCTTGTTGTTAGGACATGATGTTAGACTCCTCAAAACAAAAGACCGATAACTTAATGCAAATGCTACAGTTCATGTCTTAAAGCACCAACCATCTTTTAAAAGCCTGCATGTCAAGTAAAATTAAATAAGCCAACGTGTGCCTTATGATATCATGCACAATAACCATTGATCTTGGAGCAAAGGGCAGAAGACATAAAAAATAAAGTATGTTTTCCTTGCGATGCCAATGCAGAGCTTGCATGATGTCATAGGCCACTCTGACAATGATGTGTGTGTGCGTTTTATCAATCACAGAGCAGGCTATCTATACGCCCATTTCACAAATGAACAAAGCAAATTAAACCTCCGCTTCCGGCCCATTAACACAGGGGTGAACCCAAGGATTTAGGCAAGATGTGTGTCCCTACACTTCATCAAAGTGCTTTTAATAAGAGCATTGTCCTTCTAAAAGTGCCACATTTACATAGCGAACAATCATGGAGCCCAGAGTCGAGGCGGCCTAAGAAATTACTCTGCATTTCTCATTGTTGCAATGACGTTGAACAATGATATAAACCACGACCTGCAGGTCAATCATCCGTTTCAGTTTCCACCTTCTGTTTTTACTTTCCGAGGCACATATTTAATTTGTTGATTCATGGTTTCGTAGTCCATTGAAGGGATTAAAACCTCACGCAAGAATCTAAATATTAAAATACTGGTTTCATGCTCATAACCTCCCAACCTCCACAAAAGTTCACGCGATTAAAAACTAATTGCATAAAATAATTTATCAAAAGTGCCACGCTGGTTCCCACTCAAGACCTTTGCTTCTTAATTATTAATTCCTGCAATTAGGCGGCTTGCTATGTACTGAGTGTGAGGGCTGATGCAATATTCATATCGATGCATAATATGTAATTCATTCCAGACTTAAGAAGCTACGCATCCACAGTGGGTTTGAGACGAACAAGATTTTTTATTTTTAAAACTGATTTAAAACTGCAGATGTTTTATTGACCTCCTGTATTACTAATAAGGGCTGTGAATCGGTTTTGTTTATTCTAATTAAATACACAATGTTTATTAATTAATCTAAGTAGCTGCTAAACAGAGAGATTACCTCCAAAAGAAAATGTTATTTTTATTACTTTGTTAAATGCAAAAAGAATTAACAAGCTAATATTTTATTAATAAATTCATAATTTATTTATTCACTCATTCAGAAGTTGCATTAGACTCTTCATATATATTTGCAAACTGTTTATTGTAGCCCCAAAACAGTTTGCTGTTTTTTAATTTGTACTCTATTGTACTGTATTTGTACAGTATTGGTACTGTTTACCAGCAGTATTCAAAATATCTGTAATGTTTTGGAAAAAAATAGATACTATAAAAAAATCTATGTGTGTATATATATATATATATATATATATATACATATATTTATATATATACAAAAGAATATAGTTTTTTGATGTCTCCTTTTAATGTTTCAAATTTCAAACAAAATAAAACAAAAAACTAATATGAATCTGCCTTTAGTAGCAGTGATCATAGAAGCATTGCATTCATATTTTCACATAAAATCTGTTTTTTATTTTTATTATTATTATTATTATATATATTATTTATTTTTTTTATTTAAAAATCCATTGCAAAGTGATGCCATCGCCAATGTCATGTTACTAACACAGATCAAAGTATACCCATATAATTAAACTATTTATGTTTGACAGGTGACCTATGTCAATTTCCATTGCAGTTTTGCCACATTTTCTATTTGCCTGGAAAACCACTTAATATGCGCATAAATGTTCTGGTGTGTGTGAGATCTATAGATGTTTTTGCTAACTTTACATGCCTCCATTTTGGATTTTTACATGTCTTGCTATTTTAAAAATGCGCAATTTAAAGAGTAATGTAATTACAACCCCAAATCAGAAAGGGCTAGGACAGTATGGACACAAATAAAAATATCAGAGAAAGCTCTAGTCCTTTAGGAGCAAAGGTGCACCCAGGATTGCCAGTTTGCCAACAGGTATGTGAGAAAATTATTTACAACATTCACCTTTACTAGTGCATAATGATTCACCTTTACTAGTGCATAACATCAGTATTCAAGAAATCTGGAGGAATTTCAGTGCGTAAAGGACAAGGATGCAAGCCTAACCTGAACAACCATTATTTCTGATCCCTCGGATGGTGTGTGTGTGTGTGTGTGTATGTATGTATGTATGTATACATATATATATTAGTGCTGTCAATCGATTAAAAAATTAACTAATTAATCGCACCTTTTTTTTAAATTAATCGCGATTAATCGCATTTAAATTACTGAAACTTGTAATTTTGGCTATACAAATGTAAAATTAATGCAAACTCAAGACAAAACTATTTCAATTCAAAATATAATTGTTTATTAGAATTTCAATTAAAAATATAATTGTTTAATAGAATTTTTGTTTAACTTGTAACACACATTTCTTCATGTAAACAACATACCCACAATAAACCATCAAGATCCTGGCTTGACAGCCATATTTATTACAGAAATTAAAACACAGGCATGTTAATGACATTTAAATTTCAAAACAATCAATGCCAATAAAGAAAACATTGATTTCCATGTTGGATTCTAAGTGGACTGCAAAAAAAAAAAAAATGCCAAAATACAGGAATTGCAGATATGAAAAATGAAAAATTATAATAATAAACTATAGAATACAAACTGTTGCACTCATTGTAAAGTTTTATTGCAGTGAAAAAACCTGCAACTGCGTTAATTGCGTTAATTTTTTTTTAACGCATAATTATTTAAAGTAATCGCATGCGTTAACGCACTACTTTTGACAGCGCTAATATATGTATATGTATTGTCATAAGCATTATAGTGTTAAATATACTAAAGTATAAACTAAAGTATTTTTATTTTTTGAGCACAGCATCAGAAATTAAGTTATTGCATCTTAACATCAAGCAAGTTTTACCAGAGGTGGCAGTAACACACCAAAAAGTTTGTTGTCGAAAACCGTAAAACAGGAAGAAGAAATCATCCTTCTCCCTATCATATGGATTTACTTCCATCGGCTAGACAGCGGCCTCACAGCTCAGTAAATGTCCGTGCCGTCACTTATTGATCCACGATTGGTAAATGTAGCTTGTGTGGACGCTACTGCGCTACTTGACTAATAAAATAGCTTTGCTACTGAAAAGCTATTTGATTTAGAAAGTAGCGACGCTACAGCCATGTAAATATAGTTAAGCTAGTAACGTCACTACTTGTAGCATGATGATGGGACAGCATAAATAAACAAACCAGTTGACTGAAACTTCTTGAGTGGCTGCACTAATAAAGAGTGTTCTTGTCTCTCCAAAACCCAACACACATTCATTGTATTTCATCTTCTTCCTCTGAGGTGCAAGTAATTTATTATGGTATAACAGGAAGTTCATCATCAAGTGATGAGTTAGTTCTCTTTGATTCATTTGATGAAAATGGTGATTTATTTAAAAATGTTTATTGTTTTGCACATAAATCTATTGTGCATTTTTTAAAGCTAATATAATATAACAGAATTCTAATTGAACTTTTTACTGAACTCTTGTATAAAATCGATATCACATTTGCACTCATCATATGCACAAATCTCATCAGGTCTGTCAGCAAGGGAACAAACAGAGCCCCAGAATTAGGCTGCAGCATTGTGTGATAAATTATATATTATGTTCATGCCAGCACTGGAAGGTTATTGAAGGTCTTGATGGTGCCTGAAGCAAATATGGAACCCCAGCTACAATGGACTCACTGGAGAAGTTTGGCTTTCATCTCCAGATACTCTTCAAAGCCTGCTTCGAACAGAGCAAACTGGCAATCAAACTAATGTGTAAGCGGGGCAGTTGTGCACTTCACAAAGCCTATCATCAGAACGGCAGCATGGGATCACACAGAGTCAGAGCAGACTCCTCATCTCGAGCATACAAGGTCTTCCGAACATGTAATTTTTTCATGTTAGAAGCTATGGGAGATGCTTTGAGAATTTTTAATGACTAGCATGTGCTGTGTGAGAGACATCCTCATACTTCAAGAGCCATCTAGCAGAACACAAGTCTTCATATACAGAACACTTTACGATCAATTCTCTCTTGAATTTTTCATTTGTAAGGACAGAACATCTCATGTTTGCATTATGCTACAGCTAATTTAAAAATGCACTGTTCAATGGCTCTTTTGATTCAGTACGTACCTATATTTAAAGACCATTAGGTCCACGGTTCAAGGTCACTGCTTTCTTTTCTGTAAAATAGCAGAAATAAGTAGCAGGAAATTAAACAGGTTTCATTCAGAGTGACAGGTTCTAATTTAGTTCATACAGTGAATATACATACTGTATATATATTTTCCACAACAGTTCTGTCTGGTTCTTAAATCTAATTGGCTGATAGCCGTGCAATATTTTGCCAGTAAAATCACACAAAGGCCTCTTAACCCTTCACCTTTGTGTATTACTCCGCCCACATACAGTCAGCAACAAGCAGAGAGACGCTACAGTTTGACAATATTACTGCTATTAGACTACATAACGTACTTTTGAGCCATTTTTAATAGAGAATGTAGTTGTTTAGAATGTAGCAATGCAGTTTATTTGTAAGAATAGTGCCTATTGTAAAATCTTTACAATTTCTAAGAGAGCTTGTCAGTGGCCATTGGCTGCCATAGAGTAGACCAAAGACGGTTGACATTTTCGATCCACAAGATGGCGACAGAACCGCATAATAAGCCCTTACGCTTAGAAGATTATAACTGTCTGATTTCTAACTACAGCAGATCAAATCATTTTTAAACTGGTAAGCACACCTGCTAACACTCCTGTTTTTCCTGTAAGTATCCTGTATATCAGACCAATCTCCCGCAACCATCCTGTTTTTTATTTCTTCCTGAAAACTCCCGTAATTTCGTAAGTTTACCCCCTACCCCCCCACCCCTCTCTCTCTCTTTGTCAACCCCGGGTCTCAACATTGTTATTCAGAGCGCCCCCACCCCCCTGGGTCTCCCGTATTTTCAGAGACATGTTGGCAGGTATGCTGGTAAGTGATGTTTAAAGTAGATCTCTCTCTTTTGTATGTTGTAGTGCTGTATTTGTACAAATTTGCTTGCATTTCTGGAATGTGCGTTGTGTTGGTAGAAAGAAAGAAGCAAAGTCTGCATGTGTATAGTTTTTTTTCCTTCTCACAAGCACAACAGCAGTCTGGTAGTGATTGCGTTGCTTTTTTCAAGGTTAATTATTGTCATATCCCGATTGAGAAAAACTAGACTGTAAAACTGTAGGAAGATATTTCATATCACGTTCAGCCTTATAATCTTAAAGTGTGGGCAAAATCAGCTGTTTTGTCATCATTTTAGACGTTATGCTATAGAGTCATTCAAACACTAGCTCTAAAGCAACATTGATAAATTAGTAACGGCTTCTGCTGTTTTGCTGTCAGCTGCAGATGTGAATGAATGGCGGAAGTAGTTCCTAATAAAAAAAGGGTTTTAGACTCTCTTTGTTTGATTTTCTTATTTTAATACACGATTGTGCCATCAAACTTATAGCAGTGCGGTATGGCTGTATATCAGCATTGGTGGGACACTAAGGCACCCGACCTAAGGCCTCGAGTCAACGCATGCCTCCCAGCAGTGCTGAAATACAACCATATACAACCATACAACCATATATATATATATATATTCGCTATAAATCTATGGATTTGCTCTTCAGTGTTTGAACTTTCAGCAGTGAAATTTAAACCACACTGAACTAATCTGAACTACACTAAACTAAACGTCAACTCTGAAAACTGGACTGACGCACTTTCAGTTTTCTACAACTTCTATGTTAAGCTGCTTTGACACAATCTACACTGTAAAAGTGCTATAGAAATAAAAAGGAATATATATATATATATTAAAGTCTAAATGAAAACCAAATGTAGAATGTTTATTTTACTAGCTCGCATTGTTATTCTTTGGGCGAACAACTAATCTGTGCAATTTAATTCACCCAAATAAAAAAACAAGCCGATTTGGTAATCGTCAATCAAAATTCCACATTTCAAAAAGGCGATCCTTCCTGTTGATGTCCTTTTGATGGCTTCTGAAGAATCTAACTAAGGATCTGAGAATCCTTGAAGCAAAGTTATGTGTGTATTGTTTTAAGAAAGCAACCATTCATTTTGTATTAGGTTTTATTTTCATTTTGTTTTGACTTATTTATTCTTCATTTAATTATTTATTTAATCATATAATCATTAGTCATTTATAATTATCATTATATCATTTTATTGATCTTTAGTTAATGATTTCATTATTATTGATTATTATTTGTCATTTTATTATTATGTTTTATATTTTATTATTAATATTTTCATATAATTACTGCTTTATTTCCATTTTTCTATATTGTTATAATTTTATGAATGTGGATTCAAGCGACACTTGTTTTCATGAGTAAGATATAAGAGAATGTCTCCATTTCAAGGTCTGTATTGTTTCTGGACAATATTATGACACAGTAATTTTACATTGCTGTTGCTTGCGGTATAATAACACTTGTTGGATTTATCATGGTCGGATGAAGTCTGAGCATTGAATCATATGGAACTAAGATTATTCAATAAACTTTGTTCTTTTTTTATCATCATTACTTCATCTCATCTGCTCCTCTCTGATTTTCTCAGTCAACTCCTATATTAATAGGAGACTGTTAACTCAGTTGAACACTTAACAGGTTTGAGTATTGGAAACTCTGCTGGCTTGTTGTCCAAAAACCTGGAGAAACTGACATTTCCTGACAAGATCTGGGGCCTCATGTATCAACGCTGCGTACGCACAAAAACTTTGCGTACGCCAGGTTTCACGCTCAGAATCGCTCACGTTTGGATTTACTAACAAAGAACTGAACGTGGGAATGTGCGCAGCTTCACGGCAGCTTTATGGCTGGCGTACGCACATTTTTTGTGCGTGTCTGTTTTATTTCCATTGGCGACTCCTAGAGGCAGTTGTGTTAAATTCCTCTCTACAAAGTGTCTTTAAGCCTTGCAATGGCAGCTGTATGAGACGGGTTCATCTAGCAGGTATATAAGGTTTCCATACCATACATTTGACCAGCTAAACATTAAAGCACAATTTGCAGCGGTCGCCTGTTTTCCCAATGTAATCTGAGCGATCTACCGCACGCACATTGCTATAAAGACACTATCTGAAGATGAATTTGCATGCGTGAATCAGAAACATTTCCATTCAATAAATGTGCAAATAAAATATGATACTTATTGATATGAACTTATTGATGATTCCTACTTGTCTTTCTTTTGATAAATAGTTGGCAAAATCTGATATGTAGCAGGGCAAAAAAGAAGAAAGAGTTCATCAGACGCTGGATTCGAGCAGAGTTCATGCTCGAACGTGTCAAACCATGATTACATCGTCTTACGAGTTGCGCCACTGAGACTGTTAAGGGTAGTGCAACATTTTACAGCTATAAACCACACTATTTCTTTTTTTTATGCACTCAGTGTGATGTTCAGACCCAACTGTGTTAACCGCATCAGCTAAACTCTCCCACTCTATTTTTTTCTTTTGTTGTTAATTCCAGAGAACAAACTTGCAAATAACACCGTTTTTCTCTGGTCTACCTCTAAAAGCAGCACCTCCAATTCACATTCTGTTCAAAGTTTCTCTTTTTGCTTGCTTTTGCCATTGCTTTTTCGTTGGGTTTTGCCATTAGCATAGTCATTGGCATATTCATACGGGGGAGGAGGCAGGGAGGAGTTTTGTGCTCGTGCATGTTGCGCTCAGTTTCACGTTCATTCAGATGTACAAAAGAATATGCATGAGATTCGGTGTACGCAGTGTTTCATACATCTGAATTTTTTTCTGCGTACGCACATTTACAGCTTTGTGCGTACGCAATGTTTTAGTAAGATTTCCACGCAAGTCTTCGTACATGAGGCCACTGGTGTCCAGGGCTGGATCATTTATTTGGCGTGGAGATAGTGATCTACAGTAACACTTCAGTCAAAATATTTTTGACCAAGACCCTCTTACCGTTAGTTTGCAATGAGGGAATGATGTGCAAAAACAAACCCCCTCACCCTGCTGTCAGTTGGAAGTACATCACCATAGTAAAATAAAAGTCTCAGCATCTTTTGGTTAGTGCAGACTTTAAGGAAGGCTGGTGTGTCACGTCATGTAATGATTTGCAGGTCACTGAACAAGTGGCCGTGCACAAAAATGGACCCATTGGCTAAATTCTCCATCAGTCAAAATAGAAAGTAAGTTACTGGCTAAAAGTGGATCGCAGATAGCAATTTTGTAATGTCAATACACTCGAGTGCTTTGTTTAGATTTTAGTACCTATAACTTGAACTTTTCATTCAGTTTGTGGTCTTATTTTGTCTGTAACACTGTAAGCTATGACATCGACTTGCCTTTTTAACTTCAAAGATGCAGTTTTCGCGTGCAAATAACATAGTAAACAATGTAAACAACAGGTCTCTGGCAGAAACAGTGACATTAACAAACAAATAACTATTCATAATTCAATACTATTGTGTCATTGTACAAAATGTGCTCTTTGGGATGCTGTTCTGAGGATTCTTACCTTTCAAAGTAAACCGTGATGTAAGCAATGAATGTGTGTCTTGTTATTGCGATGATTTTTACTCCATTTCTAATAGACATGTTCTGTACAACTAACATAAATTTAGCAAATACAATCTTTATAAACTTCCCATTAAAAGGCAACTAGCAACAATGGCTGCTTGAGGGTTGTAGCTTTAGACTGATGTATAGTTTGTCAAAATTACTGGTGTTCTTTTTGATGTAATCTATTCGTAAATATTGAAATGTTAAAAAACAGCGGCCCAGTGCGTCCACGTCCTGACGCTGGCTAAATCTTTTAATGACAAATGATCAAATTCAGAACCAGAATTGATACTTTACATTTCTATATTATTCCTGTTCTTAATTGCACACTTAAAACTTGAAAATCCCTGAGAAAAAAAAGGGGGAAATTAAAACAATTTCTGCAAAAAAAAAAAAGAAAAAAAAATCGATTATTGTTTTTTGGGGGGCAAATTACATGATTTGTGTTCATTATTCCTGATACACATTGTAGATAATGTAATACTACACTAAATGAGCACTAAACTCGAACTCAAATGAAATTCCAAAGAAAACATGGATGTACTTTTTACATCTGTGAAGAGTTTCCTGTTTCCAATGACCACTGGAGGACTGCCACGTCCATTCTGAGGTCTGGCACGGATTAAACATTGTGATATTAAACAGGCAGGTTTCAAAAGTCTTGCCCTTCAGTAGAATACTAGTTTAGCTTGGAGAAAAAAAAGCTCATCTAAAAGCTAAAAAAATAAATAAATGTAATTCATATATAATTGTTTTAATTTCTTCATCTGAAAGGTTGTTTTCTGTAGTGTATTCTGTATAGAGACCTCTTTCACTTTATTATTAAATGGAAATGATTGGTCAAAATATTCAAATTAAGTTTGTTTTATGAAAGAAAAAAATAAACTACATAAAAATGTAAGTAAATAATTAGAAATAATAGAATAAAGGATTAACATTTTAAGGATTAAAATACTAGAACAGAGGTTTAAAATAACATAAAAGTACATTTTTTATATTTAGCTTCTTTAAAAAAGACTACAGTATGAGAAATACTTGAAATCACAAGTGGAAAATGCTGGGCACAAACAAAACATCTTACCCTGTTTACCATCAGAAGCTACTATGAAAACATCTAAACGATTTATTGCATGAAAGATAAAGCTATTAAGAGAATGCAAAACAAATGACAGCTTTAAATGCTAAATTTACATAGAGAGGGAAGCAAGCATGCTGAGAAGATGTTTGGTGCCCATCATATGTGGGATAATGGAGTTGTTAGATCCACCCAGGAGGCCAGGCTTGCATTTGTTAAGCTTATACTAGTTTCAACCTATAGAATTCTGACATGGAAAATAGAAACTGCATGTCTGACGGCTTTTCAGCTCTCATGGCTGTATGGAGCAAATGCTTTAGTTTATATTAGTATTGTTACTTCTATTTCAGGTTCTGTTGGATACTCTGCACTATGGAAGTGTGAAGAAAAGTGTGAAGGAAGCCATAAACATTTGTATAAACTATAAATGCATTTCAGCTCACAAATAGCAGTGAAATGTAGATCAAACCAAATTCAATATGCAAATTGTTGTAAAATGAAACCATCCTCTTTGTGTTATTTTAGTATGAAGATAATGTTAGTTCTTATTAAAAATAAAAATGTTATTGACTTTATTATTTTACATTCTAATATTACTTTTCCCTAAATAATTTTCCTTCGTTCTTCCTCTTTCTTTCCTTCCTTTTAGCTTTATTTAAATTTTAAATGTTGGCCATTAATATTCGAGACCTTAAAGCATATTTTTGAAAGCTGTATTCATGTCATTATATAATATAACATGATTTTGTATTTCTATAATTGAACTATTTTCTCTTTGAGAACAAATCATGTGTTTCACATCAACTCAGCTGTTGTTCTATTGTCACTGACAGCCAAAACAGAATATTAAATCTGTATTGACTGTAATAATTGTTCACATTTGCAATCATGGGGACATTTGGAAAATTGATTATGATTTGATTATGTTTCTCTTCCAATCTTGCTTGTATAATCATGTATTATTGTCTGTTAAGAAATTAACCATGAGTATTGAGAAATATGGGAATTCAATACATTTCTAAATGTGTTTGGGTTTTCAGCTAAAAGCACTAGAGCTGTTTAAGGCCAATTCATTAGAAAAAGAAATGTACATTAAATGTATGTGTTGTATTCTTCTCATAAAAATAACAAATACCAGATTATACATTTAAATATGCCCTCAAAGCTTGCAGTCATGTGGTATTAGGTTTTTAACAGGAAGATAACTGAAAGAATAAAAATAACAGTAAAGTTTTGTGGCTATTATTTACAATTATTTATAAAAAAAAATAATAATTCAATTAATTGTAAAATGCTAGAATCAAAATTTAACATTGCTTGTAAATTGCAATAAATACAATATTGTTCAAACTACTTAATTAAAATGAGGACAACTTAACTGTTTAATGTAACATTGTTAAAACTAATAATTTAACAAAATTCCTTGATGTTGTCCCAACACAAATCAATTTTATGGAACTTGCAGGTTATATTTGCAGGGTCTTAAAAAGTCTTAAATCTCAAAAGTTAAATGGCCAGAAGTCTTAAATAGTCTTAAATCTACTTAAATGTTGTTGTAGGTCATAAATCTTTTTTAAAGATCTTAATTTTCCTTTGTTCATATAGCTCCCTATTCTGGCGATTAACACTCATATTCTCACCAACAATCCCAATGTCAAAAAAAACTTTAACTTTTTATTTTAAATATAGCATTAATTAGTTAGAAGTTTTCCATTTATTTACTGCTGAGGATACTGACCTGACCTAGGTTTTTTAAAATAAATTTTTATTATTGTAGAATAAGGAAATTGACAGCTATGATTTCTTCGATTCTTGGTAAGGGGTTTGTGAATGGATGCATTTGAAAATTAATAAAGAAATACTCAAACAAAATTGTTATTATTGTAGTATTAAATGTATTAAATTATAATATTTTTTGATTGGGCAAGTGAAAATATTTTCTAACTGGGACATTGAAAAAACATCCTTAGCATTTAGCTCAGTATAAGTCTAAAATTTCATTCATGATGGTCTTAAAATGTCTTAAAAAATCTTAAATTTAGCTTAGTGAAACCTGCAGAAACTCTGACCCTGCATTGTTTTACAGTGTAATATACAGTAATAGACTGTAAATAAAAATGTATGTGTGAATGTGTTTTCAAATATAACATGATATTCTTTCCATTAAATAAACCTGCCACAGCTAAAAAAGGTGGATATAATAGCATTAAAGATGATCTAATATGGAATCAGTATAGCTGGATGTTGTCTAACATGTAATTTAGTGATCAAAATCTTCATGACAGGCTGAACTCTATTAATATTGTGCATTGCATTAGTTGTCTCTCTCTACGCTTATCACTTGTATTCCAGGAACCGTGTCTGTGGTTTTTGCAGACATTCAGGAACTTACCCTTTAAAAACTTCGACATGTGCGATCGGATTGCCGACTTCTTTGAGGGCATCTCCTCCCCCTTGGTGTCCTGAAAACATAAATCAGAATCTCATCCTTTGATCTAATTACATTTCAATGCAGTGCGATCCTCATTTAGTGAAGCTGTCAAGTTACGCCTTAAAATGATATATTAAAGTCAAGCTAATGCGGCTCCTGAAAGGAAAGAAATATGGCTTTTACTCATGCACTGCCACATGAGTACTATATAAATGATAATCAGCTCAGCTGGGATGTTTAACCAAGTTTGTTGTGTTTCTTTTATTTGGATTGCATTTGATCCTTTTCACGAGTACTGAAAGACATTTAGTTAGTTAACCGCCTTGTTAAAGGGATAGTTCACTCATAGATAAATAAATAAAACACACACACACAAAAAATTACAGTAAGAAGCATATTGTCACCTTGGAACTATAAGGTTCTATCTGCGGTCTAAATGATTTTGAGATATTGAGCTTCAAAGTGTTTGCATTCCATATAGCAAACAGTATGTGTGTAACAGTTTTCTCTCATACATTAACATGACAGAGACCCTAAAAGTACTCAACATATAAATTATTAAAATTCTCTTCAATTTACAAACTAGAGTAAAAAAAAGGGCAAATGCGGATAGAACTTTCCATTTTCACTTGGAATTATAAGGTTCTATCTGGCAGATCATTCATTGAAGCATTGGTTTTTCAAGAAATACAATCAGTCTGCTTAATAATTTCATTAAAAAAAAAATGGTGTTATAACAATATGTTGATGCTTGAGAAAATTACATTTTTGCTTTCTAGAACATTTATTTAATGTTTTAGGATTAAAGGTATTTCTTGTTAAAATTTAGCATACAAGGCTGTGCAAAATCCAGTCCAGTGCACGTTTTTTTTATGTCATTAATATGGTAGTACTTATTGAATTATTTGCATTATATGAATTATTGAATAATATTTATTGAAATATATGAAGTATTTGCCTTCAAGGTTTAATATCAAATTTAAAGACTTTAAAAGAAAACAGAGGATGAGCAAATTTGTTTAATAAACACACAAAAAATTTCACCGACTATATATAAACAAATAAAAATATTTCACATTTAATATATTACACTTTTTAAATAACCATTTCATTTTCAGCAATGTAAAATGTAACATTTCATCTCGTTGTCAAACAATGCTTCTAAATCATCACATTTACACACACACATGTTTTCAATTTCAGGTTTCTTCTCAATTTTGTGTGGTGACTGATTTTATGCTTCTTTCTGGCCTGTACTATTGTCAACAGAGCTGTCCGGTGAAATGACAAAGAAAGCTAATCATGATTGGTCCTCATGCGTGCATTCGAAATGCTTACTGGCTCACAGAAAGTACCTTGTAGAGCCAAGCTAGAGTTTGACTTTGTAGGTAAAACCTTTTTTGTTTTTTTAAATAAAAAGTCTTAAAATGTACACAACTTCTAAAAAACATCACATGATGTAAACACTGTAAATTGTCATTTAATAAGAATATGTCAATAACTAAATTTTAACAAAAATGTCAGGTAGAACCTCATAATTTTAAGGTGAAGATATACTAAAACATTATTAAAGTCACATGTTGCTTCATTAAATTGAGCTTACTTTCTGGACCACAACTGTCACGTTTAATACATAAATGTTCAAATCTGTAAAGAGGGCTAAAAATAAATGTATAAATAAAAGGCCTTTAAAGTTTAAATTTAATTTATAAGTTTTTAAAGTTTCAAATTAAGTGCTTAGAAATCCTTACTGATGCTTTATCTAATCATATATTTTTAAATATTTTTACAATAAGAAATATACAATATATTCATGGAAACTCATTAAGGTTTGGGTTTAAAATTATTAAACATGTACATTTGTATATTATATATTTAGTTTTTTTTTTCTCATTATTCCATTGCTTTTTTATCTACTTTTTCATTCTGTTTTGGCCAGAAGAATCCTTATTATTTTAAACAACTTTACATGATTTTAATGCTATATTACATCTGAAACTCTAGATAATATATATATATATATATATATATATATATATATATATATATATATATATATATATATATATATATATATATATATATATTATTAGCCCCCCTTTTGATTTTGATTTTCTTTTTTAAATATTTCCCAAATGATTTTTAACAGAGCAAGGAAATTTTCACAGTATGTCTGATAATTTTTTTTCTTCTGGAGAAAGTCTTATTTGTTTTATTTCAGCTAGAATAAAAGCAGTTATTCATTTAAAAAAAAAAAAAAACATTTTTGTAGACAAAATTCTTAGCCCCTTTAAGCTAATTTGTTTCCCCGATAATCTACAGAACAAACCATCGTTATACAATAACTTGATTAATTACCCAAACCTGCACTGTAAACGATTTCTGTTGTTTTCACGGTATTATACTGCATTTCTCAACAGTTGTTTACTGTATAAGCTGTGCACAGTGTGTTACTGTATATATTGCTGTTTTCACAGCATGATAATGTATTCTCAACATTTCCATACTGTGAATATGATTAACAGTATGCTACTGCAGATTTTACAATGAATTTGGGGAAAAAATCAGTTACTGTGCATCTAAATACAGTACTGCAAATGGCCATGAAAAACTCTACACACACTTTATATTATTATTATTATGTTTATTTTATTTTTTGACAAAGTATTTTGTGAAGAAAAAAAACTAACCAGTTTCTTCAGACTGTTCGGTGCATAAAACTGTCCCCTGGTTTTCCATTTTTGGGTGTACTGCACCTTAATTTTATAAGGTTAACATGAAAATATTAAATCATTTTTAATCAACATAACTTTGTGCTTAACCAAAACGTAAACTGGAACAAAAGTAATTGATTCATGAAACCAAAGTCAGCTTAAATGTCAGAATGACCAGCCTGCTTTAGACGGATTCATGAGGATTGGGCACCCGTCACCATGGAGGTCACATCTCCGCATTTTCAAAACAATATTTTAAAATACGCACCATCTCTATAAATAAACCACAGACTTGAGTTTAAAACAACTACATTCCTGCATGAAAAACGGTTAAAACTAAATTTCATAACACATTCATTATAGAGCCATCTAAGACCGGGGCAAGTCTCACATGTCTAGCCGATTATAACCTCGTTTCGCCGGATACATTAGTGATGATGGACACCCTGGAGGTCAGAATCTCCGCTATCGGCAAAGCACGCTTAAAATTTACACATGATATCTATAAATAAACCACAGATTTGAGTTTGTAAGAACTACATTCTCGCATGAAACACTGTTAAAATTTCATTTCGTGACATATTAAACGCAATATTTATAATATTAGCTGGGCTTTCTCATCCGCCATTACCATTAGCTTGTTGATGTGAAATGAATTCTGGGAGAAAAAAAAATATTAATTCTCAAAACACTTCAAACGAACTTTATTCTTATTGTCAATGTCAAATATATGTAATAATTTCGCTGGTAAAGTGAATAAAAAACAATGTTACTATATTGTAATCAATATCACGTTTGCACTGGTTCGGTTCAGCACTCGAGCGACTCTGAATCGTATTGAACCGTTTGCTCGGGAATTATTTGATCACACGTGTTCACGAGCACATTCAGCAATATGCATTTAGTGTATAATTAGTGTATAAATGCGTGTGGCCAAGCAGTTTAACGAAATAGTAATGAATCATATACAAAAGGAATCGGTTTTAGGCGGATTCAAATCTTTACTGTTCACAAAGGAGCCGATTCATAGAACCGAACGGACACGACTCGACCTGCAGGCAACGGCTCTCCTAATTAGAAATTCACCTGTCGTCTTTCATCCAGCGAATTCATCCTCGGTAAGTGTTTTAAAGTCAAATTCTGTCCGTTGAAGGATTGTTTTGTATATATTTCTGTGTATTGAGTGTGTAATTTAAAAGAATTAACCAAGTGACATTAGTTGTAACGTTAGGTTCTTATGTTATGTCACGCTGTCCGTTAACAAATGGTATTTTAAACAAGAAATAACAGACGCCAGGCGGTCATTGTAGTGTTTGCGAGGTATTAGATACAGTGAGTTTATCTTGAGTGAGTTTTTGACCATACGCTAAGTTACCTGAAAAAAAACATAACTTTAACTTATTGTAACTGCATTAATGAATTCTCTATTTCAGCACAACACTGAGATGAAGGCGAAGTCACCATGAAAAGTTAAACGTTTAAAGGTAAGCTCTGGTCTTCACATAGTCATTATGACTAAGCTATCATTATGGTAAAAATTTTTCAACTGTAAGTTAGTTATTTAAACTAAACTCATAATGAAATGAGTCTTAACTGTTTTATTAAATGGAGCTGAAAATTAAATGCAGTTGAATTATTTTAAGCTAAAGTTAATATTAACAAAATACATATTAATTGTCTGTTTCTCAATAATGTTAATGAGCTTGATGTATAGTGTGTCATTAATTGTACATTTAATTTTTGGTGTTCAGGTGTACCTGAGGTGAGTTTACGTTCTGAGTACACAGATATAAGCCAAAGTCATTATCACTATATATCACTATATTTGTTGGGGTCAGGGAATGATTTGTGTACAAATGTATTTTAACCCCATACAGATTGGTATGGTTGTACCATAGATTTAGATTAATTAATGTTAAGTCTTATTTTACTCTTATTATATTTATCTGTTTTTCAGCTACAGTAATTGATGTTGAAAAACTGATGCTACCAATCACTCCTCACTTGATTATTCAAGGTAATGTTGATGTCTTCCTTATTTTGATTAGATTTTTAAATGTCAAGTTGATATTTTATGTTATTTTATGCTATTCATTTTTGTCTTAACATGGATTGCAAGTTGAATTGCAATATCAATAGTTACTGGTTACTAACATTCTTAAAAATATCTGCTTTAGTGTTCAACAGAAATTCAAACTAGTTTATAACACGTGGAGTAAATAGTGGCAAAATAGTAAACTATTTCTTTAAATATTTTATTCTGAGACTTTTATTTATATGTGTCTTGTCTTTTGTCATATTGTCCTTCTAGCCCAGATTGTGATGGACCTGGAATGCGACACCAGTTACTCTTAAGACAAGAACCGAATAAAGCACAGATGTGGAGGGATTTGCAGCCAAACTAACTGGAGGGAAGGAACCTTTAGGTAAAAACACCTGCTTTATTTAGATCTAAAGTATTTTATTTGACATAGAGATTTATTGTTTTATTTCTAATTTAAAGCAAACAAGGTTGAGCACCCCTGGTCTAAAAGCTCAAAAATGCTGTTTCCGTGATAAGGTTAAATGTAGTTTAGAAATAGATTCATTAGGATCAATGCTTAAAGTAAACATTTTCTTCTCTCTGTAGACCAAACATGTTTACTATCCCTCACATTTTAATAAATTGTTTCTGTTTTTGTTTCTTACAGTGTGGGTGAACATACTACCTGGATGTCCAACAAAGGCTGCACAAGAGCTCATTTGATAGCACATATTCTGTCCTGTCTACATCTCTGATGACCTGGAAGTGCTTCGACATCAGTGAGTAATACATCTTTATATTATCATGCATACAGGATTTCTGTAAGCCTATTTTTAATGTTAGTTTGTAATCAGCAGTGACTGTTTTAAAAAAATAAGTATTTAAATTATTCTAAACGTTTTACTGATGCTGTGCACAGTAACGTTATGATGATTTAGTTTGAGGAAATGTCACTGGAGAGGTGTTCGTATAAAAAAAAAATAAATAAATAAATTGTATGAAATGACTCGATAAAATGTTTATTTGTCTCGCTGACATGCCATCACTGCTGCATATTGAAATACAGTAATATGAATTGACAGCAGATTATTACCACAAACATTTCATGAAGTAGGCTAGACTGCTCTTTAGTTCTCTACTCAACTTTAACACATTTCCTCGTGTCGCTGAGCCTCTCTGCAGATTTTGCCAAAAATGAATGCTTAGTGATTACTTTGTTTTATGCAGACCATATATAAGTAACTTATCATTAGCATTATTTTTTTTAAAAATCACCCACAGCTTTCATGTTCTCTAACGCAATCTTGTCTGTAAGTTAGAAGTGGATTTATACGTGTTAAAAGCCTAAAAGTATTTAATTAACATTAGTCACGTTAAATTAGATTATTTTATTTATTTAATTTTAAATATGTTAAATATGTAGCCTTTTAAAGTCAGAATGAACTGTGTTCACCCCTCTTAAATCCGTGGAAGCACTAGTAGTGTGATCATGGAATCAGATATTCGAGCTATACAGAGTCGGACATTAAGTTAAAATGAGACTTTATTTTTTACACACCTGACTAGCGATCTTCAAGAACAATGCCCGCTGATCTTTTCCCCATTAACGTTAGTGTAATTGTGAATTGACAACAAACTGTATTTCACCAACAAAAACAATTAAAAACTGTTTTATATAACTGATATATATATATATATATATATATATATATATATATATATATATATATATATATATATATATATATTTAAACAGCAGTGCAGTGTTTCGTTTCTGAATGAATTAAATGGTTTGAGGGATGATTAGTTTTTACTTCAGTGATTGATTTTGCTTGTCATTTTTGCAGGATCATCATCATGTTGCTGCCCTTTTTCACTGTTCCTTTCCACATCATTTGGCCTTCATCATTTCCTGTCTTGTAGCAGTATTCTCACCTTTTTTAAAATTGTAATAATTTTTGATGCATTAATTGTTGACTGGTTTTAATGATCAATTGTTTATTAGTGTTCTGTTGCTCTGTTTTATTGAATTATTGCTACTGTTTTAGCATGGTTTACACAATAAACCTTTATTGAGAAGTTAAAAGTTTCAGTTTCTTTATTTTTCTTGTACGTCTTGAACAGTTAAAATAACACTTGTGCAATTTTTGAACATTTTTACCCATTATAAAGTAGCACTATTAAATAAAGTAAAATAACATTTAATAACTGTAAAATACTATACAGTAATAATGAAAGTAACATTAAAATAGTTATTCATGGTAAACATGTCAAATAAAATACTGTTTTCAGTTTTGCAGTATGTGCACCACTACTGTAATTAGTGTTACAGTAAAAATCAACAACAGTAAAATGATGTATTACATTTTACAGTAAATGTGATACTAATGTAATTAGTATTACAGTAATGTTACTGTTTTATGAAATACAGCAGCTACTGGATAATTGTTGCCAGTAACTTACTGTTAATTTAACAAGAAATCGTTTACAGTGTGCCTAGTTCACCTTATTAACCTAGTTAGGCCATTTAATGTCACTTTAAGCTGTATTGAAGTGTCTTGAAAAATATCTAGTAAAATATTTACTGTCATCATGGAAAAGATAAAATAAATCAGTTATTAGAAAAAAGTATTTAAAACTATTATGCTTAGAAATGTGCTGACTCAATCTTCCTAGAACAGAACAGAAATTGGGGAAAAAAAAACTGAATGTATATATATATATATATATATATATATATATATATATATATATATATATATATATTAGGGATGTAACGGTATCAGAATTTCACAGTACGGTAATACCTCAGTATGAATGTCACGGTACGGTATTTACTGAATCATTTACAGGAAAAAACAAAACTTATGAAAATACTCCAAAAAAGTGCCAAAAGTGTCAATGACATACAAATTAGCCATCTATCTGTAAGCTTTGAAACAGGAACTTCAATTTTAATAACAAAAAATATTAAACCATGTAAAAATCACTCACTCACTTAGATAGAGATGGGTTTAAAGGAAAATTATCATATAACTATAATCTGGTAAAAGCTGGTATCTCTGGGTATTTACAATGTCCCCTGCAACAGAAAAAAACCCCTCTCATTTGGGACTGAGGTTTCTGGGACAAGAGAGATATGACTTGGCCCAGATTGACAGCAGTGGGTAATGTTGTGCATTGTCTTTCCCCCACTTGAGAGGACAAACCATGAGTGAGATAGAGGTCTCATGTCTGCATCAATCTGAACAGTGTGCTGACAACACCGATATTCAGTACGCGCGCGACAACACAGCTGATAAGAACTCGCGCGACAACACCGCTATTCAGTATGCGCGAGGCAACAACACCCGCTTTAGAGTTTTCCAGCTCTTTTACATCCTCGCTTCTAGCAGCACACTCCATTTCCGCATTACTGGATCTGTAGCGACAACAGACCGCAAGGGATGATGGTCAAGCATAAGCTGATGGGAATTGTAGTTTTCGCTACCTCCCGTTCGGTTCATTCGCCTGAGCAAATTTTCTCAGAAGACCTATAGTTTTACAGAGTCTTGCGACTACGGTAATATCGAAAAAAATTGCGTTTTTTTTTTACGGTATTTACAATACCGTTACATCCCTAATATATATATATATATATATATATATATATATATATATATATATATATATATATATATATATATATATATATATATACGTGTTTGAAACATAACTTTGTGAAATTTTATTTAATAGAATTTGACCAACCTATCCGTCCATCCGTCCGTCCATCCATCCATCCATCCATCCATCTCTCTCTCTCTCTCTCTCTCTCTATGTATTACAGTCTAAATCAACACAAAACATCGTCTAACAAAATAGTTACATTTTTATGCATATCTTAAGTACCAAGGTGTTTTAACATGCATTTTTTTATTTTTCTTTGCTATTTGGGCTTATTAGAACCTGATTAGAATAAAAAAGTATCATCTTTTGATATCATGTGCTTTTAGAGAAAAATTATGTCCATATATGTGGACTCGTGGTCCTAATTTACCTAAATCACTTTTTCCTGACTGTTTTTTTAATGAATATATAACATATAAATATATTTTAACTTGCTTTGACTATCAGAGAGTAAAAAAAAACATTTTTTTTTTCATTTTGGACAGTTAAAAATAATGTTTGGGACATTTTAAATGGTGCAAAACAGTTGCAGGATGACACTGTACGTCTGTAAAAAAATATAAAACATTCAAAGTATTTTAAATAGCCACTTAAGAGCTAAAGTGTGCTGTCCACGTATGTGGACACTCGAGCCCTAGGAGTTTAAAATGATTAATAATAAAATGAAGTGAATTTTAGGTCTTTTAAGTTATTTTATTTCATATTTGGAGTTCCCATGCATCTCAAAACAGACCTAAATGTGCTTTGGGCATAAATCAAAATGCATAAGAACAACTATTATTGGACTACAAATATAACTAAACAATACAGATGAAACTTGCATAGCCTTATGTGAGAAACAGACTAAAAAAGAAGCTCCGTTCATGGAGAATTTTCCTTGACAGCTATACTGCATCACCATTTACTTTCCCTCATTGTTAAAGAACATCAGCTAGAAAAATTATATTTGTGTTGTCCACAAAAATGAAATTAACTGACATGAAGGTGAGCAAAAGATGAAAGAAATTCAAGAATAAAAAAAGTTCAATATTCAGGTATTTCTCTAAAAGGGATTGCATACAGAGAGGCTGTGTTTTCTTAAGTGGTCCAGTGGGCTATTGGACAAAACCAGTGCATCTCCATCTGATTAATGACTGTCCACCGTCTAATAAACAGTAATTGAATGGTCTGCTGCAGAGGCCTGAAAGCCTGAGAGAGCCGCTCGCAGCCCGTGCTCTCGTCTGGGGTTGATTATGGTTGACCTTGTGAAAAACGCACTTCGAAACAGTGAGTCTAAGCTGGGGAACTGTAGCCAGAGAGCAAACCAGAAGATAAATGAACAGATATTGTATTGACACGGCAAAAGGAGATCGATAATGTGATCAATATCTATTTGATTTTTATCACAAAACTCTGTGGAGGAGGAAGACGATTGATCAGATGCGCCGGGACACATCGGCATATCTAACAATATTAATTAAGAAAAACTGCTTAGCTGACTGATTGCTAAATCAGTCAATATGGTTAAAATCAAAACAAACGATTGCCGCATTCACGTGTGCGGCCTAATTCTTTCTCAGGATGGATTTACTGTAAGCGCTGAACAAAAGTAGTTGTCTCGACATGCTAAATGAGCCCCTAGGAAGAGTTATTACAATAAAAGTTCATGTTTTTAATATTAAAACACTTCTTGGAGCTCATGAATGCTTGACTGATGAATGTTCTAAGTAAAAGCCCAGCTAAAGTAGTTCCAGACAGGACTTGCGTATGTTTCAGCTCTGTATATAAATGATTTCAATTATTTTAAAATTCCTTATAGCCTACAACAGAAAAAAAAACACTGAGTAAGTAGATATGCTATACCAACACAATAAAAATGGCAAGGTATTTCTCTATTATGTCATATAATACATATACATATGAGTATACTTGCATATAATTACAAATAGAAAGCACTTTTTTATACAAATGCAGACAAAACCTTATAAATGTCTTCAAAACATCTGAACAATCTATTGGTGGTAACCTAAATATAAGCAAAATAGTTACCTACAGATATGTTGAACCATTTTCAGTTAGTCCTTTAATAATTGTGATTAAGTCTATGTACTTTTCTGATTATGATATTTTTGATTATGAAATTCATTCATTTTCTTTATTCTTTATTAATCTGGGGTTCTTGCAGCGGAATGAACCATTAACTTATCCAGCATATGTTTTATGCAGCGGATGCCCTTCCAGCTGCAACCCACCACTGGAAAACATCTATACACACTCATACACTACAGTCGATTTTTAGCATACCCAATTCACCTACTGTATAGTGCATTTCTTTGGACTGTGGGGGAAACTGGAGCACTTAGATTTTGCCTGCCCCTCATCACGAGAAAGACAAGTAGGAATTACGAGAAAGACAAGTAGGAATCAATAATAAGTGTGTGTATTATAGAGATTCCTCAAACTGGATTGGAGAGGTGTTATCCAAATCATGTGTATTATAAGTTTGTAGAAGTCATACATTATAAATACCCTTAAAAATGTATGTTAGTACGGCTTCAGTGAACTTGAACAAGTATATTTAAATCTATTAATTTCCCGTATTAGTATTTTTTTTTTAAGTTTTCTTTAAATGCTTTAAAAAATAAGTTAAACCTTTGTAGACTAGAAATATATGTACTGTATTTTTTTTTTAAATGTGGCAATACTTTACAGATAATTTTTTTTAAACAAATATTATATTAATCTTATTTTTTAATTGAACTATTGCGTACGGCTATAGGGGGCCTACAAGACATTGTGCCCGGGGCCATCTGAATTATTAATCCAGGCCTGCCGGAGCACCCAGAGGAAACCCACGCCAACATGGGGAGAACATGCAAACTCCACACAAATGCCAACTGACCCAGCCAAGGCTCAAACCAGCGACCTTCTTGCTGTGAGGTGAACTTGCTTCCCACTGCGCCACCACACCATTATGAAAATCAACTGATTTAAAATAGAATTTGCATTGTTAATGTCACAGTCATTGTTCACCTTAACTAAAACACAGTAAACTATTATTGCTGCCTAAAACTTTAGTTGAATCAAGTGAACATTTTTAGTAATCTCAACTTACAGTCCTTAAACTGACTAAAAAAAGTTAAGATCAACTTTGTACACTACCTGACTAAAGTCTAGTCACCTATCCAAGTTTAAGGAACAACAACTTGACTTCTTGTTTATTATTTGGTATTTGGTATCTATATTATGCTGAATTTACCAAAATAAAATATGATCATACCTTGATTTTTTACTATTTAGGACAGTAAGGTCTGACTTTGCTTAGACAAAAGTCTTGTGATTTAACATAAATAATGTACAGTATAGAATATAAAGTCATGGTGCAGTAGAAAAATAATTATTATTGTGCATGACTGTCACAACCTCGGCTTGATCCTGCAGCTCCAATCACTGCTCCCCCTCACTAACCCCCTCTCACCACACTTAAAAACAAACACCAGCTTACCAATTACCTGCACCCACAATCACCGGACACCATAAATACTCACCTTATTCTCTCGCTCATTGACCGGTATCGAAGTTGGATGCTTTACGTCACCTCTCCTTCTTCCACTCTTCTTCTCCCATGGATGTCTCCATTTCTCCTGTGGATGTATGAACAACTGATTAAGGGAAGTGACTAAGCTATTCTGATGTTTACCTGAAGATCTGATGTTTACCTGATGAACTGTGTGTGAGAAGACTCACTCTCTGATATTTCCCAGAACGAACTGTGTTTGAGATCGCTCACCATCAGATGTTTACCTTGTGAACTGTTGGTGAGATCACTACCATCTACAACACCACTCTCTTGCTTCATCACTCAGTAACGTTGTTTTGAATAAAACCCTTTAAAGATAACCATCCATATCTTTCTTGTTGTGTGTGACCGTGACAATGACTCCCATGAACTTGGAGGACTGCATCCCTAAATTTCTGCAATGACTCAAATAACTTACTAATAAAGTCATCTGGAATGGCAAAGAAAGTGTTCTTGCAGGACTCCCAGAGTTCATCAAGTTTTTTTGGATTTATCTTCAATGCCCCATCCATCTTACCCCAGACATGCTCAATAATGGTCATGTCTGGTGACTGGGCTGGTCAATCCTGAAGCACCTTGACCTTCTTTGCTTTCAGTAACTTTGATGTGGAGGCTGAAGTATTATAAGGAGCGCTATCCTGGTGAAGAATTCACCCTCTCATGTGGTTTGTAATGTAATGGGCAGCACAAATGTCTTGATACCTCAGGCTATTGATGATGCCATCCTCCAGCACGCCCCCATACTGAATGTAACCCCAAACCATGATTTTTTTCTTTACCAAACTTGACAGATTACTATGTGAATCTTGGGTCCATGTGGGTTCCAACTGGTCTTCTGTAGTATTTGTGATGATTGGGATGCAGTTCAACTGATGATTCATTGGAAAAATCTACCTTCTGCCACTTTTTCAAATGATCAACTAGAATTGAAGTTATTATTTGTTGCCTTTACAACTGTGATCGATGACAAGACTTTTGTCAGATAGTGTATAACTAAAAAAATTTAGCTGAAACCTCAATAAATTATTAGAACTAAAGCAATACAAAGTCATTTGTTGTAATTTTTTACAGTGAACTTTAGCACTCCAAATAAAATAAAGCTAAAACAAAAAGAAGTAAAATATAAATAATATATTAAATAACTACAACAAAAAATGCCTAGAAATTAAATTTCCTCATGAATCATTTAAATGTCTAAGCCAGGGGTCACCAATCTCGGTCCTGGAGGGCCAGTGTCCCTGCAGAGCTTAGCTCCAACTTGCCTCTACATACTGCCTGGGTGTTTCAAGTATACCTTGTAAAACCTTGATTAGCTTGTTCAGGTGTGTTTGATTAGGGTTGGAGCTAAAATCTGCAGGACACCGGCCCTCCAGGAACAAGTTTGATGACCCCTGGTCTAAGCTAAACACTACAATAAAAAAAAAATTATATTACTCTACAAATCCACAGACAAGCTATTGTGTTAATTAAACATATCTCTTCTCTGACCAAATTGCTAGAACTGCTCGATCGTGCAGATTCGCACTCTATAACATCTGAAAGATCCGACCCTTCTTATTTAAA